ACACATGGCCTACTTCTATTTCTTTATGGACTATTGTTGATGAACATTTGAGATGGTTACACAAGAATTGATCTGTTTTTGTCCAAGATTTTGTTGTTGGACTAATGAGGTCATCTGCTTTGTGAATTCAGTTAAATTTTCTCTATGTCATTCCATTTCAGCATCCTGTGGAGTGGCTAATTCAATTCAATTCACACTATGAATTATGAGGGAGCTGATTTTTAAAGGTCAATACAGCAGCTGTCATGTACTGTAAATATCAATACAATAGTGGTGCTAGACACTGCACTATGTTAACATGGATCAGCACGATCCATGAGATTCAGATCAGATGACCCTTCACAAAAACAGAATGTATTTCTTAATGTGTAAAACTTTAAAAATTAGTAGCAAACTACTGAATGCACCTTTTAAATCTGAATTTTGCCCAATCCTGGCAAATGCCAACACAGCTCCTCAAACAGAACTACCTGTGGCACCTAATAGGACCTGCAAACTCGTCTTATTCCTTTTCTTTTATAAACGGATGGGAAAAGCAGACTCCTGACTGAATTAATATTGTTTTCTTTATTTCCAGCGTACATTTATTCATTTAGCAGATGCTTTTATGCTAAGAGACTTACAAATGAGAAACATCACAAGCAATTTATCATGAGAGCCAACAATATTTGCAGTACACAATGCCAGATCTTAAGTAGTATAAACTAGATTAGTTGCTTCTTCAACTAATGCCAACGTCTGAGTGAACGATTTCTTTAAAAAGCTAGAGATAGATGTGTGATGTGTGTTCAGTTTAGCTCTTAAAAGTTGTCAAGTTAAGAGAAACCCTTTTTTATGAGAAGGGCAAGCAAGGAGGAAAGGATTATCATAGTACTAATCTGCAGTCCAGTGAAATGATCTGGACCACTTGAGACACAAAACTGAAGACAGCTTCCTGGACAACAGCTCTCATATTATCTCCTCAGTCCTCTCTTGAATTATTTAGGGCACTCACTCACACACACACACACACACACACACACCCTCATTCCACAATCTTCAATGTGAATGAAGGACTAATATTGCTCTTTATAGACCTGTCACATGGGTTCAGTGCTTATAGTAGATAAAACTCGATATGCTGGGTAATTTTACATGCTGATTCATGAGGCATAACCATAAAGATAAATCAACATTATCCATGTTAGACTTAAAGTTATCAGTAAAGTTAGCTACAACTTAAAGTGTAAACTTAAACTTAAACTGAATCATTCGCTAAATTCACAGAAAAGAACCGACTCAAAAGAGTGACTCACTCACGAAACGGACTTCACGAGTTCTGATTCGAAACAATCGACACGACAGAAAGTAAGTGATACACGACATGCTTGCTAAAATTTTGTGAGAGAGAGAGAATTTGTACCCTTTAAGTGGAGTCGAAAATATAGAAATTACTAGTCTCGAGCACACGATTTAGTTCACAGGAGATACAGAAGTTGCAGAGTAGTGACGAGGGGTGTGTTGATGTAAAACATTGCAGGAACACTTTTATTATTATTATATTTTCAAATATTTAACTCTGTTAATGCTTGAGTAGCCTATTAATAAAGTTAATAAACATATTTCTAAAGTTGGTTAAAAAACACATGATCTATGCAATAGCCTATTGATAAATACATCCTATGATACATGTCATTATTTTATTTACAGAGGTCATTTAGCGAAGAAAATGTTGGTCTGCATGACCTGAAACACACTGTTAGATGATATACTGATCTTTTTCAAGAAAATACATGAATTCTATTTTAGAGTATAAGAAGGTCATTTCTTTTCTCTGCATGCATATGAAAGTCACCGTTGCCAGATAACCAACCTTTCGTCCAAACAGTCTGTGTATGCATAGGTGTGTTGGTGTGCGAGTGGGTGGTGTGAAACTCAAAGCATATTAATGTGAGCATGTTCTCTGGATAGCTATTAACAAGTCTATAATTAATGTTGTAAACTCAGTAGGGTGTAGGGACTGTGAAGGGGACCCAGGGGCTGCTAGCTACGTAAGTGTACTGAGAGGCCATCCATCTCCTGTGACCGTAACATTTCTTTGTGGTGAAAGAGCACTTCACAGGAAGTCAGCCCTTTCTTACACGTCAGATGAGAAAAGAATCACTACAGGCCATTATTAGCCATCTTCACAGTTCCCTCTGGTTATGCATATGAGAAGATTTGAGACTAACCTTCATAAGTAAATAGAGGGAAAGACCAAAATGAGTGTAATTGGAAATCCATGCACAATCATTTTCTCTTTTTATATTTGCACTTTGATTTAAACAAGGGGCTTTTGACTTAATGTACCTTTATAATATATCTGATTGGAGTGTCACCTCAGATGTTTGACAGCACAGTGAGGGGCTGAAATAACAGAGACTGTGAAGGACGAAGCCCCCCTTCACCCAACCTGCTCAATGAAAATGAAATGACTGGATTAGGCAGTTAATTGCCCAGCACTCTGACATGGATTGACACCTATGTAACAATGATACTGTGAACTGATGGTTCTTTGAGGATTGACGGCGCTTTGCTAATTTACATTCAGTCAAGTTTTCCCTCATTCATTTCTTAAAGGGTCATTTGATACAGGAACTATTCGAGCCGTTCATGCCAGACTGGGGAGAGAGGTGTTGTAATAATGTAAAATATGTGAAAAATAATGTGTTTTTCGAACAACCAAGTATGAGAGCCTGTTCTAGTACACCCCCAAAACAAAATCAAGACTTTGTAAAAGAGCATAATAGGACCCCTTTAAAAGGATCGTTGCACAGGCTGCAGTTTCTAGATATGGCTTTCCGCTTTCTGTGAATCAGCCCTTGAGCATCTCTCTTCATGGTTCCTGGGTTAAAGGGGCTTTCCAGTTCTCAGTTTCTGGGGACTTTGTGTAATTTAGCAGAATTGGTGTCAGGTCGCATTGAATAGGGGGCGAAGAGGCAAGTCCCTTAAATCCAGAAACTACAGAGAGCCACAAAAGGCGGCATTTATTGGGAGCACACACAACTCATTACACTGCTCATTAATTACCAGATGACAAAGCAGCCACTTGCATATCAGCCTGTGGTGTAAATGAGAAAAAGTACACGTTAATTTTTCTAATGATTATGCAAATGATCGCCAAGCAGACGAAGGTTATCACGTCCACGTGCAAGGCAGTAATTACCACCTCCGGGGATAAGCACGAGACAAAATCATTAAGCAGAAGAGTTTAGTGTGATGCAGCAATGCATTTAAAACATCACCTCAACAATCAAATAGAACTAAGTGGTCAAACTAAAAAGTTTGACATTTAGGAATTAATAGGAATTCACAGGTATATTGAAATAATCGTAGCATATTAGCATATCACTATTTAGGTTATTTGATTTCAAATTCTTACTTTTAGTGGTTGGAACACTTTATATATATATATATATAATTGGGACATTTTTCCCAGTCATCTCAATGGCAAAAAAAAAATTGTCCTAATTTACCGGAGGTAACCCTATATATTGCAAAATTAAAGTATTTTCATTCTTAAAGAATATTCCTGGTCGTACTGTGAACAATTTATCAGTACATGTTATATTAAGACATTTTTGTTCATGTTACCTTTTATCAAAGCATTGGCCATGATTTGCATTAACCAATAGACAAATAGCTATTTAACCAGTTTTTGCATCCATTCTGGTATGAAAAACTCACCATCCAATCAAACTGTAAAGGATCAAATCAAAAATACGGTACAAATATAAAGTGGGTTGCAAACACCAATTCACACAGCAAATAACATATCTCCAGACAATAAACCGTCATTAAATGTATCACTTTTTGAAATGACTGCTAATATTGTTCACCCAAATATAAAAATTCTGTCATCCTTTATTCACCTTCATGTCATTCCAAACCTGCATGACTTTCTTTCTGCTGTGGAAAACAATACAAGATATTCTGAAGGATGTTGGTAGACAAACAGTTTTGGTTATCATTGGCTTCCATTGTATGGACAAAACACTGAGACATTTCTCAAAATATCTTCTCTTTTTGTTCCAAGTCATACAGTTTAGAACAAAATGGGTGAGTAAATGATGACAGATTTTTCATTATTTTTAGGTGAACTAGCTATCCCTTTAAAGTGTCTACTAAAATGAACAAATGTAACGTGACCCTCAAAAGAACTTCAGATGAAGGCAGTGGAAATTTCATCTGAAGACAGGTTACACAAACTGTGAACATAAAAGTTAAAGGGCACAACCACGGTCTTTATTTCTGTGAGCTTGTAAAATGGTTTTGCTGAAACATTAATCCCAAATTTACAATGCCGTCTGAGATAAAAGAGAACAGCCATGCAACAGGTGATTAAATTAAGCGAGATTATAGCTGTACTGTGACTATAAAAGCACTTCTTGTTATTGGATTTGTTTAATCAAGCGAATAATAAAGTTAGCTGCCTCTCACTAAACTACCATTCTCCATAATAGAAATGGCCATTCTCTTAACAAACCTTTGAGAGAATGTAGCAGTTCAGCATCATAACAGCTGGGGGTTGTGCAGTGCTGATCTAATGCGGAACAGCATCTCCAAATCCCGTGAAAACACACCGAAAACACACTGCAAGGAGCAGAAGACCGCCACCCAGTCGTGAACTCAAAAACATTAATTTACATAAAAATAGTACATACTACATCACCTAAAACCTATATCCATATTGAATCAATATTTTAACGCCTCCAAGATAAGCTTTCCTAAACCACGACTGTTAGGTTTCCATTTGATACGCTTTTCATATGACGGCAAAATGTTTAATATAAATTACAATATAAATTAATTTAATATCGTTTAAACGTGTTTTTTTAATATCGAAATGCAGATTACTATGCTATTGGTAGATCATCTCAGAAACATGCACAAACTGCAATCAGCACATCACCATGCGTCTCGCGCATATGCAAAATGACACGACAAACTTTCACTAATAACCTTCTCGTGCGTATTATTACCTTCTTGTTTTGTCCTGCTCAAGCGAATCTCTCAAAGACAGTGAATAAGAGCGAGCTTCTTCAAACTTCAGTCTTCGCCTCTATGCAGTCTTCAGTCTTCACCTCGACGCGCCTCTCAAGCCGGAGACAGTAGCGTTATGCCAGCGGTTAGTTTGGGTTTAGGACAGATGCTCCTCGCATGAGTATGGCTCAGCATCACTTACTTCGCCCTCCCCGGAACGCTCACACGCGCTGTCTGCATGCTGGATACATTCCCTACCTCCTCCGTACTTTGACAGACAAAGTGAACAACAAACAAGTATAGATTTATCTTACAGCTTTTTATGTAAATTAAAAGTCTTTTCAAGCTTGGTTTTGCAGAAGAAATTAGCCACTTTATATAATCTTGTGTTATTATCTGCAATGACTTGTTACTAAAATATCTTCATTAATATTGATTTGTTGGTTCAGTGGACCTTAATAAAACACTAAAATTCATTCACGCTTAAAGGGGTCATATGATGTTTTGAGCAGTGTAGAGTAGGGCTTGTTTGTCATTTCTCCGATCACTATGCAGACATGGTTTTATGTTTACGCAGTGCGGTGCAACGCAACGCGTAAAAAGACAGTATAAGTCATTATAATCCATAAGTATGTCCCCACTGGATGCAACAAATGCCTGGTTTACAATGGGTTTTAATGTTTTTGTCTCGTCGCTCCGGCCGGGACATGGCATCACAATATGGTAAGGGCATAACATTTCCGTCACACGCTTGAGGTACCGCATAAACTCATTTCATTACACCAAATACACAAAATAATGTTTGTGTTCTGTTTTTTTACCCTCATCATCACAATCTCTCTGTACTCGTGAAGCATAACAAGAAAAGAAACACGTGTTGCCATTAGAATGCGTGATGTAGAATTTCGAAATGAAGAATTGGTGATCCTGTTGCGATCCTCCCTCAAACCCTCCTGTGCCTAGCATGCTCCGACTATTATAACAAATGACAGGGGTTATGGGGGTGCTGTGAGTGACACAGCCTCACTAACGAAGTGCGTCGGTGCAAGCTGTCATTTTGTAACACTACTGCCCCCTTTTGGTATTCAGTAATATTGTCACACCTTTTACTCGAGTGGGTAATTTTTAGGATAGGTTCATAGCCACAAAAAAAGGGAAAGATACAATTCATGGTGTCACACTCAACTGGTAATGTGTGTGTGTGTGTGTGTATTTTCTGTATTCACTGTTTCCTAGTAGAGGGTACATTACAGTATGCAGACAAATTTCTTACAAATAATCATCCATGTATGGAACCGAAGGGAAGCGTGACTTAATTAAGAGCAAAGCAGATAAATCAGTCATGGGTCTGTATCCTTGGAAATGGGAGGATAATGCAAACCTTCACATTATTTTCGAGTCATTAGGCAAGAACACAATACTCCTAGCTGTGCTGTGGCCTAAAAGCAAGTTGTACTACGCTTTAAATGTGGGCTAATTATGCAACAGCACCACATTTAGCCTGTAATGAGAAATCTCTGACTACCACAAAAACAATTAATGAGCAAAACACGCATTGGGGTAGTGAGTTAAAATGAAAATTTGTATTTGTGAAACAGACAAAGCAGCATATACAGAAAAATAAACAGGTTGCTAAAGTATTTGATCCATCCACCTTTAAGAAAAGGACTGCAAATGTCAATTCTAATTCATAAGCATTGTGTAAAAGACATTTCAAATGAAGAAAGTGAATAGTCTCTGTTGCCCTGCTAATTGTTTGCACAGGCAATGACAGGTTTTATTGTTACAATATATTGAATGCAATGAATAGACCTTCAGTTACTCCGAAGAACAGCTGAGTCTTGCACACTAACAAAGACAGAGATCCACATGAACACACTCAGACATCAACACACATACTCAGACTATTCAGTGTAACTAATTATGACTCTCCTCACTGCATTCTTGGTCAGCTCAATAGATTGATCTCATTTGTACATTCTCCTGAGGAGGAATTACTGCCAGTTGTCGCCAATCGATCACCTCTGCAGACACTCTGTGTGAGTTCACTGCTGAAGACAGGAGGTCAGCCCACTGCACTGACAGGCCAACACAAACATCTTAAACACAAAGAAGAAACAAAGGGTGAGAAAAAAATAAAAAGCAAGAAAGAAACAAAGAGAGAAAAAAACACCAGTCTAAAAAGCTGTATTTCATAACATTATTTTATAGCATATGGACTACTTAACATATAAGCAGGCTCAAAAAAGAAATATACAGCAGGTAAAATAAGTACTGGACGTGTCACCATTTTTCTCAGTAAATATATTTCTAAAGGTGCTGTTGACTTGAAATTTTCACCAGATGTCGGTAACAACCCAAGTAATCCATACATACAAAGAAAACAAAACAAATAAGTTCAGAAATTAAGTTATGTGTAATAAAATGGAATGACACAGGGAAAGAGTATTGAACACATGAAGAAAGGGAGGTGCAAAAAGGCATGGAAA